GCCTGGCAAATCTTCATGATTCACGGCAGTAAGATATTGCTCGAACTGAACTTTTTGTGTTTATTTAGTTTTCGATGGATTGTTATAAACTGTATGGTATAGAGAAAGAAAAAACGGATGGATCCAAACGTAATAATAAGCTATACTACAACATATGTAAGTCCTCATAATTGTCATACTATATTAGCAGGATTTTTGTAACAATAAAACTAATTAGTTAGTCAAATTATATGAAAATCTAAAGATTAATAAATTAAAAAAACAACAACAGTCGATTCAAAACGGTGCCAGAAAAATAACTTTAAATAGAATGATAATTGTCAACTACAACAATGAGTGAACAAAATCTTACTATTGTATGAATTTTTTAAGATGCTATTTAAAAGATAAACAAAAAACGAGCAGAATTTTTTTCCCTAAATTATGTTGTTACGAACATTTCAAAATCAATCATTAAATATGATCAAATATCAAACAGATACAAATTTTTAGCCATCAATAGATTTTTCTTTTCTAAATGTCAACGATAGCAGAAGAAGAGTTAGAGTAGAATGGGGTAATTATGTTGAATTTATGGCAGCGAACTGAGAATTCGTTAGTATTAATTAACATTAATGCATTATCAGTTATCTTTTACAGTAACCGATAGCTGATAGTCACATCTGTCTACATGTGCATTACATCTCCCTCCCCATAACAGAAGACCACTGACGATTATATGGCTTGAAAGCTAAACAGAAGATCATGGTCTTCTAACCCCCTCTCCAGAACAGAAGACCACTGGTCTTCTGTTATGTCCGCCAAGAAAAGTCGGATAATGCTCCATATCAAATGGCTAATTTTCAAAAAAACTTCGCCAAAACGTTCTTCTAATATGGGATGGACTTCACATATGTTGGAGTTACCGTTGGACTGCTAGCAGGCGACAAAATTTGACCGCAATAGAAGATCACTCTTTAGAATTCGGTTTGCCGGACAAAACAGAAGGTTTTCCAGTATGGGGAAGGGAGGGGCGGTAATGGTTTTTTTCGATTAAAACTTGTTTAATTGTGCTAGGTGTATCCCAACAAATAAATATGTCATTTCACTATATTAAGTTCCAGGTATGTTAATTTGATGAAGAAATTATTAAAGCGAAAACGAATCGCAGATGCAAAAGGGAAGTGAAAACAGGAAAATGGAATATTCGGAAAATTGGAGTTAATAATCATGTCAACTGTCACTCAAAAATCGTTCAGATAGATAAGTGTAAATCAGTATAATAATGGGAAAACATTATTTTTATTGAAAAAAGTAGAGAATATTCTCTTCTAGCATGTTGAAACAGATATAAATGCTGAGTCTTCACCTCGATTCGTCTTTCACGAGGCTCAGTAATTTTCGAAATATTTTCATTAAATTTATTCAAGCCAATAGGGAAACTAAATAGCATCATTGCCATGTGATGACGAAAGAGTGATTTTTGGCAGCGAATAGACAAGTTAATTTGAAATAATTTATACCAACATTTATCGTCGTATATTATATTTCAGAGACGGAGAATTAGATGCCTTTGTCAAATGTTAATTGTGAACTGAATGTATCGTTTAGCGGAACACATTGAACTACACTAGCACAATAAATCCTGTTATTCATAGTCAATGAACGTTCATATTGTTCCAGGTTTTTGTTCTCTTTTTTATTTTCTCTTTCCATTTTCCTATTGCCGTGTGTGTGTATGTGATGATGATGATGACAAAGAGAATAAATCGATTTCCTCCTTTTAAATGTGTACACACATATAGACCCAGCCGGAAATCAAAAACCACTCTGGTACACAACAACATCAAGACAAAATAAACGAAAATTGGTGTTACAAATTATTTGATGATAACTATTTAAAGAATTTTATTCAAACAGCAGAAAAAAAAATATTGAAACTCTTTGTATCATAGAAAAAAAGAGAGAAAACTCATTTAGAGAATGTATGATGGTAATTGTATGAGCTCATTCAAGAGAAAAAATAAATCGAGAGACTCTAAGTTCAATTACAAGTTAGACATGAATATACGACTATATTAATAGTAACAAGAGTCATTGACATTTTTGTTTCTAAATTATCAGTATAACAAAAAAAAAAAACTATCTTGTATGAGTGAACTCTGATATAAATCTACTTTACTATATTTTTAAGTGGACTATACGTTTAACATCATAATTCATATGATGTATTCGATACTGGAAAGTATTTATAAAGAATAAGTATTATTACCTAAAAATTTGACATTAACATTTGAAATATGCAAAAAGAATAATAGTTTTTATATTATATCACAGTTATCATTACTTTGGTAACAGATAAAAAAATTATTTTTTATTCATTATTTCATTTGATCCATAACGGCTCAAATTTTTCATCCGATTTGAGCAAACAAAATAGAATTTAGAAAATATTTTAAGATTTAATCTAGAAATATTTAAATCAACTATTCTCTTTTGTTCCCAGTTATTGAGTCAACATTTGACAGATAAACTTAACGTAGCGATTAGCAGACGAAAAATTAAAATGGTTTAAGAATTGGTGGTTACTGAAAAACTATGTTCAATCTCTGTTTTGTATGAGCTTGTGTAGGTAGTACTTTCTTTCTCTCCTTCTCATTACCAATAAAAAATAGCTAAAATTAGGTTTAGATTTTTTTTTTTGTTGAAAATTTAGTATAAAATTAGTTTCTAAATCAAGATAAAATATTAAAAAATAGATTCTATATCAAAAAATTTGATAAAAATTGCTTCGTATGAATTGAATCAGTATGAAAATTTTAAATTTATAAGTGGATAACTCGAAGAAAACGTCAAAAAAAATGTTACGTTGTGCGCATTTCAGTTTTTTTAACGATGAATAGAGTCTACGCTTTTACCGATTCGATTATTGTTCTTCTAAATATAACGTTTTGTATAAGATGGCTGTATGTTTGAAAAAACAAAATTTTAATCATCCCTATTCGATATCCATTACTTTATCGTCTTATATGTTCAAATTCTACACTAGTGCAGAATTTCTCTTTATCTTCTAGATCTTTAGTGGAAAAGTATATTTCATTAAATATACACAGTTTAACAGGTAGACAAATGGTGTGTATGGTAAACTTTCATCGAAAATATTTTTTATCTTCATTGAGAAACTCATGTAGAATAAAATAGAACATGAGACATTATGATAGAACATACTATTTATGAAAGAGATAATCTATTTGAAGAACGTTTTAGAAAATCGATAAAATTGATTTTATTTCTTTCAACGTGACACTATTTTCTTGTATATATTAAGTGTCGATTGACACGTATGTCAAGATTAGTTTAATAGATTATTTATATTAATTAGCAAAGTCATCAATTGTACTACTATATCACATGTTATAAAAAATAAAAGACAAATTTGTCTATACAATATGTTATGATTAAGTGATAGTTTGACATAAAAATCCTGTTTTAGCAAATATGTGAGAGAAAAATTAAAAGAATAAGGTTAAACAGCTTGATATTAGTACATAATAATAAATAATCACCTTCACTATTCTCAAATAATAAAAAGAGAACATCTTTTTTTCTTTTTTTTCTAACTTATTATCTTGTATGTAGTGCCTATACACTGCGGCTACAGAATATAAAAGAAGAGTTTTTCGATAGTTATTTACAGAACAAATCACTTCTTTTTTACTAAGAAAATCGTGCAATGCGATGCCAGAGATATAAATAAAAAATATTGGCATAATAGATGTTTTCTTAATATATACGAACAAAAAGAAGAAGAAAAAATAAAAAAGAAGAGAGAAAACCGCTCTATACAACACCTGACATACTTATTTCTAGTAGTTCATGTTGTTATTTTTTTTTTTATATCTTAATTTTTTTCAAAATAAGATACACGTACGTATTCATTTTTGAATTAGCAATAAAAATTCAATTATTCTTCAAAGAAGTAAATAAAATAAAAATTTTGTTTGTCATTATTGGTCTTTAGAGAACAAAATTTAATGAAGAATATATGAATCGTTAATATTCACTAGGGAAAATAATTACTCTAACAGCGTATATCAATCTTTACTTAATCAAAACTTGACTACTCTCTTACTTTTTTTTTCTTTTTTTTTTTTTTTTTTTTTTGAATGAGAAGTATACTTCTTTTGTCAAACTAAACACATTCAAATACATATATTTCTCTTTGACTTTTTGTCTCTCAATATGACCATATATGATAGATGAGTCTCTCGTGTCATCTCTTTTCCTATTTTAGCTCGTAAAAGATCCTACACGTTATTCCACTTTAATAGTGATAATGAGAGAAAAAATTGTTAACAAAAAAACATATGAAACTATAACTAACTAAATCTTGCTTACGATACTCTCTATTCACTATTGTTATTTACTGACATCATATCGATGAAATTGACAAATTTTTTTTTTTACTAAAATATGTAAAGTTAAAATTTGATTTCTTGTGCTTGAACAAATATACTACTAAAGAGTTTATTTCCGTGTGACCGAGCACTTTCGTACATCCTGTTCATTGAACAACATACGAGTGTATCCTCTAACTTTTTTTTGTCATATGAATTTATTTGTAAACTATTAAATATCCATTCGATTTTTGTATCTATACATAATATAAGAATGGATGTTTAACTTCATAGTACTAAATGTACAAAAGTAAACGATTTTTTTTTTTGTTTTTTTTTTTTGTTTTTTTGGGTGATGCTAGCGGTGATAATAATAATAATGATACAAGCGATTAATAAAAACAAATTGTTCCATGTTTCTCATTTTTCTTCTTTTTCTTGTTTCTTGTTTTTAGATTATCAATGAGTAGTAGTATCTCTATTATTCTTTTTCTATGCATACATCAAAAATAAAGCACATGCTTCAAATATCGTCAACATCATCTATTGTTAGATAATAATAATAATAATAATACATCTATTAAAATATAATTCTTTTTTCTTCTTCTTCTTCTTCTATTTTCAATGTTACCACCTTCAAAACCCGCTGTCGATTCCATTGTTATTCATCGAGATGATTCTCAACGACCAACAACAGCTTTATTAACACATCCATCACAACATTATCCTTATAATTATTGGACACTAAATGATCGTTTCAAAACTAAAAATGATTATTTATCAAAACGTCAACAATGTTCATGTCGACTCGCATTTTATTCATTATGGATATTAATAAGTGCATGTGTTCTATTTATAATTGCCTATCGTTTTTCAGATGAATGTGGTGAATTAGTAAAAAAAGTTAAATGTAAACGATATGGACTCTTTTTATTATCGATTTGTATAGCATCGTTAGCTTGTAGTGGAATATTCTGTGGAGCATGTCAATATTTTCGATCACAATCACAACAACTGACAGCTGAATTATACTATGATAAAGCGAATAATATATTAAAAGAACAAAATAATTTAAATAATACTCGACATTGTTGTTGTGTTTATCAACAAGAACAACAACCAGTACAACAACATCAGAATGAAGATGAAAAAACCCCTCAAACAACTGTACACAACATATCTTCAATTTCATCTACTACATCATCTTCATATATTCAAGAACAACAACAGAAATCAAGACAACAATCGCCTAAAATTGATCAACGTACATCTACAATATCGTCTATCTCTCCATTGCCATATTATCAAATTCAGTCAACATCAAATAGGAAAATACCACCATTTACATATGAAGAAATTTCACCACAAATAAAAAAAGTAGTAGATAAATCTGTTTCATTAACATCATCTACAAAAAGTAAAATGCCACCGTATCATCATACAATTTTGCTCTCTTCTTCTTCGTCTTCATCGTCTCCTCATTCAATGTGTGTTGGTATTAATAAAATTCTAATGAATGATATTGTTGACGATGAACAATATCGTTCTAATCAAGCTCAAACGCCAAGTTCTTACACAACTTGTGTATGCTCACCAGTTCTAATACAACAATCAACATCATTAGAAACACAGATACCGATCGTCACGGAACAAATTAATAATGAAGATGATATACAATTAAATACAACTGATATATGGCAAAAAAATGAAAACCACAGTAAGTAAGATTTTTTTCTTAACTATTCAATTTAATTATTATATCTTTTTTATTGAATCTTCATTCTACTCTTGAATTTGTTGTTCCCTTTCAACATATGAATATTATCAAAGAGATGACTGATAATAAAAGTTTAAAATAGTGAGTCTAAATTATTATACATATAATCTTTCATTTTTAGCTTTATCATAGTTAGTTTTAGGAACTGTCTTATCAGTGAAATATTTATCAACAACGTGTGCGACATCTTTCTATTAAATATACTTTATTATTATTATTTTTTTACTTTCTTTATTTATAGAGAAATAAATTTCCATTTCGTCATGCACACATACACACAGACTTTGGTTGAAATTGAAAGTGATATGGAATCATTATCATCATCATTTCGATTATTACCACTTTTGTTGAGACACATGTCAATCTTTTTTCTTCTTTTCTGTCTCTTCTATATGTTTTCTGAGAGATAAAATTGATTTTATTATCATGATTAATGTTATTTTCTGTTAAAATATGTGCATGTTTCTTTTCTCTCTATAATATATCTATTTAAAAATCCGGTGCTATGCTTCTTCTTTTTTTTTTATAAATAAGAATTTTTTTGTTTTTGTACTCTCTTTACTATTCTTACTTTCTCAACTAAAAAGATATTTTACAGTGACACTTACCGTAATTATTTGATGCTATAGCATCACCCACAGGCGGATTGCCTTGACGTAGTTGAGCCAATAACTCAGGATTTGATCGTACCATATCAAACAATTGACGAGGATTTGATGCTAAAAGATAAATACCAATAATATCAAGGGAAAACACTCATTATTTCGTTACTCTATGTCTTAGTTGTGGTGATTTTTCATAAACATGTTTTTATTGAGGTCTTTTGCACAAATATATGGACAAAATGAATGCAATTGTACATCTAAGTCATTTTTTGTTTCTTGAATTCTCAGATTCCCGTTAAAATGTTAAAGAGTACTTTTTTATCATTTCTACCATAATAAAAATAAAATTTATAAATAAAATCACTGTAGCAGATTAGTAAAACAATTGTTGTGCTCAGAAAATTTAAAATAATGGCAGAAAAACATGAAACTATTCACTTTTCTAAAAAAAAATTATTAATCATTGAACAAGTTCCTTGAATATGTCTGTATTGATCATACAAAACCTTCTCAATTATGTTGTGGAACTCTTATTCTTATTCCGATGAGACTAGTTAATCTGATAAACATCAATGAACGTGTACTCCTTAACAAATTATTAAGAAATCCCGATATAATTCTATGCTTGAATAAGAAAAATATTTCTTATCGTCCATTATCAAGTATAGAAAAGATGTTCATCTGCTTATCAATGAAAGAGAAATGCGTAGAAAGGAATATTTTCTTTTTTTTTTAAGGTTACTATATGTACATATGTATACTCTATAAGAACAAGTGCTGTTCAAATAGAAAATTCTCGTATTCTTAACTAAGAATAAAAAAAAGATATATTTCTTAGCATAAAATCTAATTGTATTAGACGTTGTTGGATTTTCTTCTTTTCTTTTTGATGACAACTACAGTCTAATTCAATATGTTACACACACACACAAGTGATATTATTATAAGTGAAAATAAAGAAATAACGACTTAAATATTTAATGTTTATCAACGACATTCTTTTTTTTTTCATCTATTCGAACTAATTCAATGAGACAGATACATACGATCAAATTGCTGTTGTGCACCACTACTACCCGTACCACGTCTCGAAGAAACACCACCGCTGCTACTAGTGTGTCCACCTAAAATAACGAAAACTAAGAATCTGGTACAAAACCTTTGTTAATATCTTACTACGTATTCTTTGACAAGATAATAAATCATTATTTGTAATATTGTAATGGCCCAATGTGCGTCTGTCGTCCGTTAACGGTTGACCTATTTAATAGAGAATATAAAGCATTTTAATGAGACATGATAAAAGAAGAGAACATATTAAAAATTCTAAGAAGTCAGAAAAAAAAATATGTGACTATTTTTATTTTTGAAAATTATCTGATACATAGGATACAACATTCTTTATTGTATGTATATGTATTTGTAATACATATCTTTATTAGTTAGGAGTGCAGATATAAAAATAAAACGTAAATTATAAATTACCATTATGCATTAACACCATCTCTGACGCTTTTATTTTCAATTCTTCTTCACATAATACCTAATTGAATGTAAAAAATTTGAATTACAGATATACAAGAGTATTTGATTTCGACATACTTTCAAACTGGCTAAATCTAATTCATTACTAACATCGACACTAAGTACATGTTGACCATCTAATGTTGCTACAGTTATATGCATACTTTATTCAAATAATAATGAAAAAAATAACTAGAAATGATCTAAAAATGAAATTAGTCAAATTTCAACATATTATTTCCACATATAGATATTGTAATTTCAAGAACGAATTAAGTTTTCTATTGTTTCTTTGCAGAACAGATACATCTAAGAATGTCTCTTTGGAATATGTAGTACTATGTTGATTTTTGATTATATTTTAATTTTTATCAAACAATCTCAAGGTACATTTTAATAAACTTCTATCTAAAACAGAAATTTATAAGAAGAAATAGCTCGAGAATAGGAGAATTTTGAATTTTCCACCTTCTCTTCGCTAACTACTGTTTTAGAATGGAAACATCCAAATAATGAGTACTCTCATTTCTACATTTTTCGCATAAATTTACCCTGTAGCACGAAGATTGCAAGCAATGCAAGCGCATAGTAACAAGTAAAACGAACGAATGAATGAATGGTTTTTAATAGCACAGCACTGGTGCGTCACATCCGGAGATATCCCGTCTGATTGAGAAAAGTTTACTCTACAATTCTAGATGTTACGCAGTTCTGACCGTTCCTTAACTGAAAAACCATAAAAAGAATAAAATGTCGCAAAACTCATTATTACGGAATTTTACACTGATAGCAGTGTTGCATGCCACATAAGAAAATCATGCATCGATAAGAAAAATCAATTAATCCAAAAACTCTTCTATAGTTGTGATTTACCGATACCATATTTCAGATAACACAACCAAAATCCCATGCTCCAAAAAATAGATAAATTAATCTATATACAGAAAATAAAAATAAAAATACAATATATGGTTATTGTAAATTCCGTCAAAAGGATAAAGCATACATGTTTCAGTCGAAATTATTTTTACCTTATGAGTATGCTGAAATTTAAGAATACTGGAAATTAGGCTATCAGATCTTTCCAGTAGCCCAATTCACGTTCGAAATCTGACTAGGGGGGCTTACTAGCATCAGCTGAACGTGACAATTTCTTACCACACAACCCAAATATTGTACGCCTCAAAGACATTATCAAATTCATACATCAACTCAATTTTTTTGTTTTTTCCATGGTTGTACTAATTCTTCTTCTTCATCTTCGTCGACGTCTGCTTGAAAAATAGTATTTGGTTGTGTTTCTTTATACGCTGGTGTTACATAAAACGGTTGTTCTTCTGCAATTTGAGCATACTTCAAAATTTCTTCTCTTGGATCTTCTTTGTCGTCGTATACTTTTCGTAATTCAATATTTTTGACAATGTGCTGATGCAACGTTGACCCATGTTCACCTAATCGTCCGTCATGTCCCGTACTATCTGTGGGTACTTCAGGTCGTTTTGATTGTACTGGATCTTGTCGTTGTTTTCGATGTCTACTAGTTATGCTGCTTATTGCGTTACTTTTAACTGCATCGAGATCAATATTCGCATAAAAATCATTTGTTTGCTTTTGTTTTTTCGGTTGTCTATTCAGACATGAGAGTACACCATTCATAGACTTTTGTGTATCATAGAAGATTTTAATACAGCCATTATTTGTTGTACAAAATATTTGATTTAGTTTTGGATGCCAGAACGTTCGAATAACACTTGAATCATTCATCATTGATATTTGTTCAACAGGTTTATGTAAATCTAGACGATCGAATATCAACAATTTTCCAATATTTTCATCTGTTTCGTCACCCAGATCAACATTTGTCTTCTTTGACATACCTAGTAATAATAGTAAAGTGTAAAATAAGTTGCAACCAAATTCAACGAAAATTCTTCATCAATAAGAATGTTGTTGAAGTACAGTAGTATAAATAAGTTATACTACATTAAAAAATTAGACTTTTTTCTCCATTATCCAAATTTGACATCCATTTATTCCTACAGATCCTTCTTGAATAAGTCTACACAAGCCAAATCTTTAGAGAACTCTTATAATGTCTCAATTTTACACATTCTGATACGCCATGTTTGTGAAGCACACTGGATTACCCGTGTCGAAAAGTTTGCGAGACATTATCTAACAAAAAACCTGAACTTTTCAACTTTATTCAGTGGAAGTTTTATAATTCAAAGGAAAGGATCCGTTAGTCCCGCAAACTTTTCGACACGAATAAGCCAGTGTGCTTCACAAACTTGGCGTATCAGAATGTGTCGAATTGAGACCTTATAAGGGTTCTCGAAAGACTTGGCTTGTGTGGATGGATATCAAATTCATGATCAACAGCAAAAATTACCCACTATAATGTATATTCCGAGGAAAAGCGAAAAATTATTTGGTGAGATTACACTGTTACCTGTAATTAAATATCTATCATTTGGTGAGAAACAAACATTTGTCATTGCAAATCGATTATGTATATTTTCACATGAAGATAAACATCCTTTTTCAAACATTCGAATATCCCATAATTTCAGCGTGTGGTCGGTTGAACGTGATGCCAAATGAAGACCATCATAAGACCATTTCAATGATGAGATGATTTCATCATTTTGATGTGCATGACGACACAGAAACGTTGTATGAACAAACGGTTTACGTCTATCCCATATTTGAATACTACCATCTAAACAACCACCAGCTACCAGAGAGGTATTCACACCATTTTGATGAATAGAATGATAGGTACACGTTGTTGTACGTACATCATGTCCTTGCTCGGATTTTGTTCGAATACAAGATATTTGTTGTTCACGATTATTTAATGACCATAGACGGATTGTACAATCATCTGAACATGTCATAAATTCATTTTTATCTGTCGGCGACCAACATCCATAATTTAACATAGATTTATGTCCCTTTGTACGGTTCATGTCTACTACATAACCGTCACCAAGAGGACATTTGTAGATTATCTGTTTACCAGATGCTAAAATATACAGAAAAAAACAGTTAAGCTGCTGACACATAATGCATCTAGATTTAAAAACTGATGTTTGTCAGCTCAGGAAGAAAGCGGCAAAATACATCGCTGACAGCTATACAATACAGAGTTTCAACATGAATCTCAAAAATAACTAATTCTTTTACCTTCTCGATTGACCACTTTAGCTTGACAATCACCACTCACAATCAATATCATATCAGCATTTGAACTGTATTCAATTGATTTTAAAACTTTTCCCTGACAAGGTTGTATTGTTCGAAATGGTTTAAACGAAGAATCCATCGATCCAAAATCAAACATTTCCATATCACCATCATAACCACCAGTAATCATTCGGGTACCATTTAAATCTGTTGTTAAACAACTAAGCGATTTTGTACCATGTTGAATAAGAACAGAAGATGATGTAGGAAATACTGGAATATCATCTTCTTCCTCGTTATCACTATCACTACTACTACTACTATCAGCATTTGTTTGTTCGGTATTTTGATCGTCGTATATTGTATTTTCAAGATAATCCATAATTTTCTATTTTATATCTGGAAGAAAAATGTCATTATTCAAATCATTTTACAAAATACTTTGAAATAAAAATAATAATATATTTGTGTCTAATCTCCTCCTTGGGTAAATCTGTTAGATAATATATTATACAATGTTTTTTTTCTATTCTGAGTGCAAAGACGACCAACACAACAACAATCGTAATATTTATTGCATTTTTTTACCGGTATCAACAATAACTAACAGCAAATCGTTATTCGTTATACCAATCAAGAAATAAAAGTGAAAATATCATAACTAATAGAAAGAAAATAATCCATCGTCTCATTTGTGCCGAATTCTTCACGGCATCTCGAATATGTTTAATAGCCGCTGCCATATCATCATTTGTCTGAATTGCTGTTGTATCGACTTGATCAATTAAATCGGATTGTGCTAAAATATTATCGAATAGTCTCTTTTGCATATCAGCTATATCGCAAGCTTGCTCGGCAATTTGTTGAATTTCTTCACTTCGTTGAGCAACATCACGATACAAACGTTCATTTTCTACCTGTAACTGTTTCTGTTCTTCACGATCGATTTTAGACAGAAAACGATCGTTTTCTTCTTCGGTGTTCTTACTAGTATTCGCATTATCACTATCGTTATCAAAATTTCTTGTAACATGGATATAACTAGGAGATTTATTATCAAGTTTTGTCGCAGATTCGGATGGGGTATTTTTTGCAGTAGCTGTGTTTTTTTGAAGACTAAAGAAAACTGAGATATTATAAAAACAAGAAACACAGTGAATATTTTCTTTTTAGTGCGTTTTACCTTGTTGGTAATGTGTCGTTTTTTTGCGATGGTTCTATATTTTGTCTTAAACCATATTTGTCTTTATCGACATAATCTAACCTTGCAATTCTTTTTCGTTCTAATTCTCGTTTATATCTTAGAGATTTTTCTTCCGTATAAATTTTTGTACATTCGATTAATTCATTAGCCAAATAGGAACAAATTGATTCATAATGAAGTCGACGTTGACCAGAATAACATATATGACCGATAAAAACTTTTAATTGGTCTATAGATAATCGATACTGTTTTATTTGTTTTTCTGATGTTTGTTCAAATCGTAAATGATCGGTAATAGATGCAGATGTTTTTGACGTTATGGTACGCAAATATTTTGGACATAAGTACATACTTCGATTATCAATTAAAAATTGTTTCAAGGTAACTATCGAATTCAAGATGATTTTAGCGCGATTTGTAAAACTCGTTTTATCACTATTATCATCATTATTATTACTATTGTTATTGTCATGAACAGATCGAGGAGGAAGATGTCGACGCTTTAAGCCAAGTTCATCTTGAAGAGAATTTGTTGTAGATGATTGATCCGTTGGAATATCGGCTGTTGCACGTTTTGCTTTAATTAATGTACGAAATAGTTTTGTAACGTCAGTCATTGGATTGAAAATAAGAATATTATCTGAAAAAGAACAGAACATAGAATATGGTTTTGACTCATTTGGAATGTCGGAATCAATCACTTCTGTTTCTAAAATTATCCACGTTTTGAAGCTGAAAGATTGTATAAACGATAAACTAGACGAAAAAAACCGAACTCGTTTTTTCTCACTTTTTTTTTCACACAAAGTTGTCAAGATATTTTGGCTTGCATTAAGGAGAAAAACAAAATGTCACAGTTCTTCATCCTTCATTGCTGCGCTACAACCTCTAAATATCAGAAAAAAATATTGAATTGAACAGTGAATCTAGTCGGCTCGGAAAAAATGTTAACTTCAAAATGAGTTAGTTCAAACATCATTGACTGGTAGACATTCTTTCAGCAAAATTGTCGCATCTACATAATCTTGTTTGTTTCCGATTGAAATTTTATTTCACATGAAGTTCAAGAATAAACAGAAAAAACAAATATTTACTTCTCTAAGAGAAAAAAATGAACACAACGAGTCCCTATTCTATATTGTTTCAGAGGTGAATTATCGTTGTTTCTTTCTCTACTAAGAGCCAAGTGATACTAATGTATTCTCTTACTGTCAAGAAACCTTGAAGAAAAGAATAATAGTGAATAAATACAGGTAGGATAATCCTCATAATTAGTCTAGACCAATAAAACAAGAGGTAGTAGCACGAATTTGATGTTGTCCTATTATTGAAGAAAAAAACATGAAATTATTTAAACTAGCAAGAAAAGTAACAAAGAAAATCATCACTCTTTCGTGTATCATACTAATATATTAAACAAAGTCATGTCATCTGTAGATAAACTCAATAAATCATCCACAAAAATAGATAATAACATACGCGTACGTAAGACCTTGATTATTATTCATCAGTTTTAGGACAATATAACAAAATGTTTCACTCTATACAATATGAACAAGTCAAATTTACAATTACATAGAAAAAAAAAAGACACAGGAGCCCACAAGTGTTGATTGTTTCCTAGTAAAAAAATATTTCTTTTTCTATAACAGTTACCGTTTACATTCAATTGTTTCATCTTCTGTATTAGTTTCATCATTAGCTGATGACCTTTTCCGTTTTTCTCCTTTCACTGGCGATGTTTCAGTTATTGTTGCAGTCGTTGTAGTAGTTGAAAAGCTTTCTGAACAGAAAATAATCATGAAGTAATCAAAATACTAGAATATTACTAGACAAACAAGAATATGCCACACTGTATACTATCCTGAAAGTATAAAATTCACATACATACCTTCAATCGGATTAGCTGAATGCGGCAGATCAGAGTTAGCCGATTCATCTAGATCATCGTCCAAGTCATCATCATCGTCTTCATCATCTGAGTCAACTTGATCCTATTATTAAAAAAATAACGATACTTTGATATATAACAAATAAAAGTAAAGAACGAACTTCATTAAAATCACTCTCTTCTTCGTCATCGTCTTCCTAGAATAAAAATGATAACATGCAGAGGTTGTCGTTTTTTAACAAAGAAATAGAACATATTGATCATCTCTCTGAGCGCTGATTACTCTTTAGAATATTGCTTAAAAGAGTAAACAGGAAACACAAGCGTTTCTCTCGTGTTCTATATTTTACTTTAAAAGTATCTATGGAGTCTCTAATGTGTTTGTTAAACAAATCCACTTCTACTTACAAATGTTTGATCATACAATGCTTTCAAACCAGTTTTCTCGTCGTCTTCGTCGTCTCCTTCTTCATCTAAAGTTAAACATATTGGTTAAACAATTTCTGAGCCTTTGATTTATTTTTCACAAAACACTTTCAAAAATCAGTAACTGTCAAACGAGTACCCTCTTCATTCCCTTCATCTTCATCCTCGAGCAACTCTTCATCATCTTCAGCCTCAATGCCATTTTTGTCCACATTATCCAAATATTTTAATTGTGGTAATAGTTCAAAAATTTTATCTGGATAACCATCCGATTGAGTTACTTCACAATTCATAAGATCAACTATTAACAGCTTTGGCAATTTCGTCTGTAAGGCAAACAGAAAATAGAAACATCAGCACAGATTAAATAAAACATAAAACAAAACAACTTACCAGTGGCTTTAAATCGTCAACTGATTTAAATTTATTTCCAGCCAAAACTAACAATGACAAATTTGAACAACTTTCTAAATTCTCTAAACCATTTGTCAAGCGATTATCGCTCAAATAGAGCTAAACAAAAAGCAAACCATTACATCAAACTTTTATGAGTAGAGAGAACTCCATCTTTTCGAACTTCTTTCTTAATTTAAATAATTCAATCACTAGTCGTTGATGGCAATTAGTAGTTTGATGATGTCAAATATATTAGGCATCAATCGTACACGTATGTTAGAAGAACAAAACCAGTTATATTTACTTTTTTTAATTTTGGCAATTTTGGAAAATTTTTCAACGATGTCAAACCAACATTAATTACACTCAAAACTTTCAAATTTGAAAACTCATCTGTTAAACCTTGTAATGTTGTACTTCGACCACAATTATCCAGAACGAGTTCTTTGATCTAAATACGCGATATAATAAAAGGTAGCTACGATAATCTACTCGCGAACAGACTACTTACTTCCGACGGATCTCGTCCCCGAATTTCAAGTGAGATTCGCTGCATCATTGGATTATTTTGATTTTCTTCTCCCACTTTTCCTTGTGAATTAGACATTTTCAGGAACAATCTGTGTACAAATGACGTGAACAGTTACTAATGATGATTATGAAACATGCATGACGGGTATAATATTGCTGTGACAAGCACTTTTTTGACATACTAGTTCACGTACATATATAAAAGAGAAAGGAGATGAAAGGTAAACTATGGAAAACCAATAATGTTTTTTGTAAGAGAATGGCATTTTTCTGTTGAAACCTAAGCCTTTCAACAATATATTCTTCTTTTTTTAATATAGCAAAGATCAATTCAAAGTTTATAAAAATTTTCATAAGAAAAACAGCAGTTAAGAGCTACACAGATGGCGCTGATAGTTAAGGTATATTAATGAATGTTAATCTTCTATAACTGGTATTAAATAACCTGTACAATGTTCGATATCTATATATATTGCTGACTGCTATGCTGAACTACTTAGCAGGATCTATAACTTTGCCCATACAATTATCCTCGACACTTTCCATCCTCAGTTTTCGAGAAAACCCGTTAAAATCTGACGTCATGAAAAGAAAATTGAGCTATTCTGACTCTATATTCCTGTTCAGCATGAAGAATTCAATGTACTTCAACGTTTTCTGAGGCTTCTTTATGTTTCCGTACCACAGTTTTCTAAGGCGATTTGTGGAAAACGGAAGGTGAAAAATGAAAAGTGTCGAGGATAGTTGTATGAGCAACGTTATAGATCCTGCTAAGAATTCCTATCCTGAAAAAATTTCGACAAACTTTCGGTGCGTTTAGGAGAAAATGGAGGTCGAACTTCAGGAAATTTTCAAGTAAATTGAGTACCACCCGAATGTAAAGTTAGACCGAGACCGAACTCGAGTAATGCTACAAAAGGCGCAAGGTATTGACTTTGACCAGATGGTTTTTCTTGTGACGGTTTTCCAGAAATCCCGTAAAAATCCTATCATCTGACTAGGGTCCGGAACGGAAAAAAGTACTAAATTACCCATAAAATGATATGCTGAATCCGAATTTCGGCTTAGTTTGGAGTCAATATTTATTAGTAGCTGAGGATTTTGATGAGGTTTCTGGAAAATTGTCACAAGAAAACCATCTGGCCAAAGTCAATACCGTGCGCCTTTTGTAGCGCTAGTCGAGTAGTATGTGGACTAACAAGATCTCGAAGAACCGACGGGTAGTTTTCGAGGAAGGAGGCCAAAGTCACGACTACGCTTACCATAAAGAAGTAAAAAGTGCTAGAGACTTCATTGTTGCGTCATACGAACAAACTTGGAAGCCGCTTTCATTTGAATATAAATAAAGTTATGTTTTGTTGGGTTTTGAGCTCGTCCAG